CTAGAAGAGAATGAAGGAGAAAGGATTATGGCATGGCCTTCTCTGGGGAGTGCTTTTCCACTTTCCCTGTCTTTCTCTCTTGGCCTCTTTCTCTCTACTGAGCACACATTTTTTTCTGGTAAAATTTAAAGAAAAGAAAACATTCCATGATCTTTATTGTTTCTGATAAAAAGTCAGATGTTAGTCTTATTAGAGTTCCTCTGACATGACGAGACATTTTTATCTTGATGCTTTAAAGATTTTCTCTTTGTCTTTTAAAATTTAGACTAAGATATGTCTGGGTGAGGACCTTTTGCCTTTATCCTACTTTGAGCTCATTTAGCTTCTTGGATATAGTTTTATTGTTTTTCATCAAATTTGAGAATTTTTCAGGAATTATTTTTTTGAGTATTTTTCTTCTCTCTCCTTTTCTTCTGGGACTTCTATTATCTGAATTGGTATATTTAATGTTGTCCCACGTTTGTTTTTTTTTTTTTGCTATAGGGCACAGGCATTTGCCAGAAAGACAGAGGGAGACAGAGACACAGAAAGCAGGAAATCACTCCCCAGGGTGGATGGCCACGCCGCAATCCCTTCTCCTCCATTCTCCTCTCGGGATCTTGGGCCCGCACGCATGCACACGCACCCTGTGTGAGTTTAATCCACGGGGTCCTGGACTCGAACCGCGGTCAACTACATAGGAGTCCAGCGACATAGCCATTATGCCACCTGCTGGTCCCAACTGTCCCACATTATTTTAGGGCTCAGTTCACTTCTATTTTTTATAATCTGTTTTTCAGATCATATAATCTCTATTGATGTGTCTTCAAATTTGCTGATTCTTCTGCCACTCCTATCTCCTGTTACGCCTCTTCAGTGAACTTTTACTTTTGATTATTGTGCTTTTGAACTTTAAAATTCTTATTTGGCTCTTTTATTGTAACTCGTCTTTATTGATATTCTCTATTTGAGACATTGTCATCATACCTTCCTTTAATTCTTTAAGCATGATTTCCTTTAGTTTCTAAAACATATTAATAATAGCTGCTCTCAAATCTTTATCTGTTCATTCAATATTTGAGTCCTTCCAAAGGCAATCACTGTTGCCTTCTGTTTTTCCTGTGTATGGATCACACTGTCCTGTTTCTTTGCATGTTTTGTATTTTTGTTGTTGAAAACTGGACATTTTAGGTAATGTATTATGGACACTCTGGATGTTGATCTCCCTCCTTTCTGCCTCTGGGACATGTGGTTTTTTCTGTTTTCTTGTTTATTTGCTCCATGACTTGGCTAGACTAGTTAGAGAAGTCTGTTTCTCTGCAGTGTGCAGCCTCTGATGTCACATCTTAGAAGGCACAGTCTTAGGCATGTACACAGTTACTGTGACCGTCCATCCCCACCCAGGGATCACAGTGGCTGCAGCTGAACTGTCTCTTTCTCTGAACTCCCTGTAAAATTTCTGACTGTTCTTCCTGTATTATTTGTGACACGCAGTTGTCTCTTGTTAGCTGATTGTTCTATTATTTTTGATGATACCCTAATGCATGAATTGTTCTACAGTCTAATATAATCGAAGTCAGGCCCCTTTGCAAGAGTAGTCTTTTTTTTTTCTTTTTTTTGGAGAGATTTTCGCTATAGGGCGCGTGTGCTCGCCAGACAGACAGAGAGAGACATAGAGACAGAAAGCGAGAAATCACCCCCCAGGGTGATGGCCACACCACAATCCTTTCTCCTCCATTCTCTTGGGATCCTGCGCATGCACACACACGCGCCCAGTGTGAGTTTTAAGCCACCGGGTCCAGGACGCGAACCACGGTCAACTACGTGAGAGTCCAGCGACATAGCCATTACACTAACTGCTGGTTTTCGCAAGAGTAGTCTTTAAGTCCAGTCCTTTAGGCATGTTGTGACCTCAGGAAGGCTCCTCTTAGCCGTCTCTTCCCCTGGTTCTCTCACTGAATCTTCTAGCTGATCTGGGCCAGCGGGTAGCATGGTGATTGGGGCGCTAGACTCCCATATGGCTTACGTGTCCCGGACCTGGTGACTTGCTTTCCTACTTTCCCTCTCTCTCTCTCTCTCTGATCAAATGAAAATAAATGAATGAATAAATAAAATTAAATAATTCTTTAAAAAAAACCAACTTCTAGCTGATCTACTTTTCACTGATTGCTATCAAGGAACTACTAGCCTTCTCTTAATTGTCTTCCATCAAAATCTCCATTTTTTAAAATGAATTTTATGGCGCCTATAGGCTTAAACGTCCCCATGTTGTGTCGCACATAGTTAGACTTCTTATGGAGAGCTTCAGAGCTCTCTCATTACAGCCTGCCTCTCCCCTAGGCAGAGCCCTGTACTGCTGCTCTTCAGCTGGCGGTAGAGGTAGTAGTCTGCTTCTCTTGGGGTGGCACCCTACTCTATGAGTAGGGCACTGGGTAGGGATGGCAGCCCCTGGGGTTTCCCAGTTTGCCTCTCTTGGCATGGAACCATCACCCTATCAGTGATCTGGGGCAAGCACACTAAGGGCCCCATATTCATGGCCTGATTCACCTAGTACAGAACTTCTGCCCTACAAGTGAGGCTGGGAGGAGAAAGCACCCCTTGGTCCTCTCCACTGCACTTGCCAGGAATAAAACTTCTGCAACACCCGACTGTAGTGGATGAGAATGCTGGTGGCCTGCTATTCCCAGAGAAAAACTGTTACCATGGCTGGAGTAAGAGGGAGTCCCATCTTCTTGGCCATACCCCCACACGAGAGTAGAACTTCTGTCACTCTGGGCTGTCACTGCTGGAGCAGGTTATGGCTCAAATGCTGCCGATATCACCGTTACTGCCATGATTTAGTAGAGATTCGAGAATCAAATATTTCTCCATTTGCTGTTTGGTTTCAGGACAATTTATAGACTCGTAAGAGTATTTTTAAAAAGAAAGTCCACTGGTTATGGTTGATTTTCTGGGGACAGGGAATGTAGAAAGCACCTCATACTTCCAGTCCAGCTCAAATGTTTAAAATAGTGAACTAAATTTCTTCAAAGATATTTTGCTTTCTAAACCTCACTGATCTGTAACCCATTTTTTTCTTTTCCCTTTCAGTCCAAAATGGAGAGGTTTTTACTATAGATTGACCAATTTCAGGTGAAAGAAAAAGCAGTTTAACTTCTATATATATAAATGGTATTCAATCTATTTTAGCAAAATGGCTTTCTTGGCATGGATGAGGAGGATGTTTGCCTCTAACCTACCAAAACTGTACTTTTCTGGGCAACTTGAACCTCTTTGAGAATGTCTTTTCTTTTTTTCTAAATTCATGATAGAACATATGTGTATGCATGGCGGGGGGGATGAGCCCCTTCCACAGGGTCTGGTGATCTGCATGGCGGGGGGGATGAGCCCCTTCCACAGTCTGGTGGTTCCCTTCCTCTAGTTTTCCATTGGACTTCGGGCATTCGCGCATGTGCCTGGCGTGTCTCAGGCTGTCTGGGCCAGTGATTCAAACTGTGGTCACCGTGTGGGACACAGCTTCTCCACTATACCACAGAGCTAGCTCTCTTTGAGAACTTGCAAGTATTACAGGGAGGGAAGAGTCTTTAGCCCTCTGGAGTAGCCAATTCCTAGTGATTGTGAAGAAGCAGATATTGGGCCAGCTCCATAGCACAGCTGTGACATGCCGCTCAAGCAGCGCTCTTGGGTGTTTACGCACTGTCTGCGGCTGCTCTCATGCTACAGGAGCAGAGTCTAGTCATTGTAACAGAGGCTGTGCAGCCTGCGAAGCTTAAAATCTTGGCCATCTGGCCCCTTTACAGGAAGCATTCGCTGACCCACTCCCAAATGTATTTTAGTGGAGCAGCACAGGTATTTTTTTTTTTTTAGCAAAATATTTTAGGGTCCAGAATGTGTCCCCAGCAGAGCTGTAGTTGCCTAACATGACACACAAGAGAGAGTTTCAGGGCAATCATTTGTATGGAACCATCTTGGCATGGAACCAAGAAAGAAATAAGAATAACCAAGTTAGAAATAAGAATGCCACCTGTGTTTGTGTAAGCAGATCTTTATTTTTTCCTCAAACAAGAAGCCATAACTTTATTAATGATAAAAACCTGGAACACTTCACGAATCCGTATTGTTCCAGTTTTAGTATATGTGCTGCCGAACTGAGTACTGTGTAAGGAGAGCTTAGTCATAAGGAAAACATCTTAAACATGTATTTCCTATGTGTATTTGTAAGTAGTTCCCCAAGGTTGCAAGTTTTCCCAAGCCTTCTGTTTGACTTGAGATTGTGGCATTCTGACAGTTTTCTCTGTAATTAATGAGTTTCCTTTTAATTTAAAAGAAGCCTTAGCCCTTATTTGACTTTCCATTCTCGAAGGCAGAGTACTTTCCAAGGTTCTGCCTGTATTATGTCAAAATACTTAGATAGCTTCATTAGTCCAATTTTAAAAATTAGCAGTTAGCTGGATTATTTCTGGCATCATAGAAATTCTTTTTTTTTTATTTGGAGAGGTTTAGGGTGAATGCACTTGCCAGAAAGACAGAGAGAGACAGAGATACAGAAAGCAAGAAACCACCCCCCAGGGGGGATGGCCATGCCACAATCCCTTCTCCTCTATTCTCCTCTTGGGATCTTGGGCATGCACGCACACGCGCCTGGTGTGAGTTTAAGCCACTGGGTCCGGGACTCGAACCACGGTCAACTACGTGGGAGTCCAGTGACATAGCCATTACACTAACTGCTGATCACCATATAAAAAATTTTTTTAAAGCTTGATGGAGATATAAGAATGGAAGATCTGAAATGCGAAGCTAGTCATTTTTTATGACAGCATAGACAAAAGATTGAGTATGACTTAAGAATGCCATATAAGAATGTATTTTAATCTTCTAAGTATGCTAAACATTGAGCACTGATATAATTCTCTTTAAAGGTAATGTTTATGCTTTATTAAGGAACATAATTCATAGTCAAACTGTAGATACAGTTTTACCTGGGTAATATTTGATGATACAAAAAAAATTCAGCAGGTTCTTGTTTTAAAATATCTCTGAGAATAGTCATATTTAATAATGTATGCTTCTTGCAAAACAATTTTTTTCAACAAGGTTTTTTCAATTAGCAATAATCGCACCTCGGATAAACCTCATTGGCTACGATACTGCCACTGCACAAAGTTCAACAAGGTTTTTGTTTGTTTGTTTGTTTTTGGAGAGGTTTTTCGCAATAGGGCGCATGCACTCACCAGACAGACAGAGAGAGACATAGAGACAGAAAGCAAGAAATCACCCCCCCAGCGGGGATGGTCACGCCACAATCCCTTCTCCTCCATTCTCCTCTCGGGATCTTGGGCACGCACGCACATGCGCCCAGCGTGAGTTTTAAGCCACCGAGTCCGGGACGCGAACCACAGTCGACTACGTGGGAGTCCAGCGACATAGCCATTACGCTAACTGCTGGTTCCCTGTTTGTTTGTTTTGCCACAGGGCACGTATGGTCACTAGAGAGCGGAAGAAAGCACCTCCGCCCCCCATAATGGGGTATGGTCATGCTGCAATCCCTTCTCCTCCATTTCTCCTTCCTGTCAGGATTTTAGGCACACACATGCGCCGGGTGTGTTTCTCAGGCTGCTGGGTCTGGGACTTAAACTGTGCGGTTGGCCATGCGGGATTCGGCTCCATTAAACACCAGGCCATGGGAACGGCCCGACAATGGGTTTTGAAATCCTCTCTTTTTATAAGCGTGCTTATTTTCTTTCTTTCATGAGGGAGCATAACAGAGAATGAGAGAGAGAAAGACGGGTACTTTTGCTGGGGTCTCTTCATACCATGATTCCCTTCCCCCAGTCCTCCAGCTAGCCAGGAGCTTGGATGTGCATGTTTCAGGTCGACTCCAGATCCAAGCTCATGGTCACACATGTGACTTCTAGCCCTGTAGATCAGCATGCTACTATCTGTGCCACCACAGCTGGGCCTCAACAAAGTTTATAATAGTTCATCTGTAGTTAAATGATCAAGCAGTATGCTTTTTTCGGCTCTGCTGACAGAAAGAAAAGCAATATGCCACATTACATACCTTGGTTACCAGTGCTTTCAAGTTCAGTCTGGTTTGGGGGGGCATGTAATGAATTGATGTGATTCCTAAGATTTAAAACCCTAAAATATCTGTCAATGAAGTTCAGAAACATATGCACATTTGAGCATTTGAAACCTATTTTAAAACAATATATCTATGGAATAGAGCTTTTGAAGTCGAGCAGCTTCCTGTTTTGTGCCTACATATTCGTAGTCATATTGCACAAATTGTTCATATTCAGGCATTTTCTCCTTCCTATCCCACCTGCCAAAGCCACAGCTGTGCTTCCACATTAACTACTTTCTGAAATGTTTTTGTTTCTTTTTTTCCAGGCATCTAGTGGGAATTATTATTTCATCCCCTACATCGTGACGCCATGTGCTGATTATTTTTGCTGCGAAAGTGATGCCCAGAGGCGTGCCTCGGAGTACATGCAGCCCAACTGGGACACTGTCCTGGGCCCGCTGTGCGTGCCCCTGGTAGACAGGTTCATTAGCCTCCTCAAGGACATCCATGTGACCTCATGGTAATTCTCATCATCCAACAACAACCCTGGGAGCCCTGCCAACATTTCCCTTCATTTTCAGGGAGGTAGTATATCTTCAAATGACCAGAGTACCTGGAGAATGGGGAATTCCAACCAATCATTGTAAAATCATTCTGGAATCCATTATTGCCCTTCAGTACCTCACTAAGTTAAGCCACTGCGGTAGAGCTAACAGAGATTGAAATTGGAGTTGGGAGGTCAGAATTGGTCTTCTCTCTGGTCCTGACTCCCTCTGTGACCTTGATATATAAGTTTCTTCTCTGTAACTCTCCTCTCATCTTGAAAATAAAGAAGTTAAGTCAGTGATTTATTTTTTATTAACTGATCTCTTTCAACTCTGAGATTTGTGTTTCAAGATAATTTTGGAGTGCTGGCAGGTGGCATGGTAGTTAAGGTGCTGGACTCCCACATGGTTTGCCCTGTGGCATAAATCTAAAAAAAATTTTTTTAAATCATCTTTGGACATGACTTTGCACTCCTTCAGTTCTTGAGGTTCTTAAAATGCCACAGCTAGGTCATTCCGACCTTAAGGTCCTGTGATGTAAAAGTCTCCATGTGCTGGGTCAAGCTGCAGCTATCCTGATATCAGGATGTATTTTGACCCTTGGGCTTTATGTGAGAGGTGGTTTGGAATACTCAGGGGGACAGGTTTGGATTGGAACCCCAGCTTAGGTGGTTCCTAGTTGCCTGGAACAAGTCAGCTCACCTCTTTGAGTGTCAGTGCTTAAGAACTCATACCTTCGAATGTCCCTATTCTAAAAATTCAAGGCAGAAAGCATCCTCTTAACCACAGGATCCAGGTACTTTGTTTGCAGCCAATTTAAAGGATTTATTCTTGTAAGTTGTGTCACAAGGAGTGGGATTTGTTCTTCCAAAACAAATGAAAATCTGAAGCATTGGCAGAACTGACTTGCAACAATACATAAAGGACCTCATGTCATGCTTTGGCTCCCAGCATGGCACCCTGAACTACTGACTGTCTCTGTTGTGGTGTTGGTAGGAGGTACACGCAGTCTGTTCTCCTCTCTTTCCATCGCCTCTTTTCTGGTTGCAGACTCTCTTTATAGGCTTGAGTGGGAAAAGAAAACTGGACACCTAGGTGTGTGTGGCCACAAAGAAAGTAAATGGGAGGCATTTTGTGGCACATTCCTGGGAAACCTTATGCACTCTCACATTGATAACTATGGTCTTACTGAAAAACAAACATTGCAGTAAAGAAAGCTTCCCCAGTACTGTATTTTCAGTCTGACAGAAGGTAGGCTAGCTTGAATCTGCCGGATGAGCCAGGTCTTTGCAATAAACGGACACACATTCGTTTCTCATTTCATCTATGTATGAGGGGACTGCAAAAAGATTGTGGAAAACCAGAATTAAGGTATGGATTTATTTTGGTGCAAACAATTTGTGTAATCCATATATGATTTTTTCATAATATGCTTGTTCCATGAACCTTTTTTTAGACCATAGATCTCTCTCTTTCTTTCTTTCTTTCTTTCTTTCAAGAGAGGTTTTTGCAGTACAGCAAGTGCGCTCGGTGGAAAGAGAGAAAGAGAGACAGAAAGCAAGAAATCACCCCCCAGGGGGGATGACCACACCACAATCCCTTCTCCTCTATTCCCCTCTCGGGATCTTGGGCACACAGGCCTGACGTGCATTTAAGCCACCGGTTCCTGGACTGGAACCACAGTCTACTACATGGAAGTCCAGTGACATAGCTATTATGCCAACTGCTGGCCCCAGGTTAGTTTTTTTTTTTTTCATGTTGAATAGGATTTTTAAAATTAATTAATTAATTTTAATTTAATTTTACATTTTTCACAAACATTTACATATCAAAAAATTTTAACTCATACTCCATAGTTCTTGATAGTTCATAAACAATTTTCAAAATACTGAATTTTAAAGATAATGTTCAAAATATTTCTTAAAATTTTGTATAATTTTGTTTGTGACTCTATAACAACAGAAACAGTATGGTTTTCAATATTTTTGAGAAAATATTTACATGTCAGCTACTCAAATTGTTGAAAAGCAAATGCCCAGCACACTA